CAGGAGACCTGTGTAGGCTTGGGATGCAGTGTTGATATTTCAGCTTCAGGGACATGAGGGAGCTCTTCCACAGCACTGTGATGTTGTTTGTTTTTTTTTTGTTTGTTTGTTTGTTTTTTCCCCCCCCCATACAAACTACCATCCTACTTCATTTTGAAAATAAATACTATTCAAAGGTCGCAAATGAAACATTTAGTGATACAGCTGGCCATAGGCTCAAGAGACACATGGACAATACAGGCTAAGTCAACGACTGCTGGCTTAACAAGGCACAAGGCAGAATTACAAGACCAAACATTCTCAGTGCTTCCTTGTTCTTTTGTTTGAACAGTTGACCTTCACATCATTTCCCCCCTTTCCTTCACTGTTGTCCTCTGCCATCAGAGACATGATTTCCTCATGCTTCTCTCCTTCCAGTCTTCCCCGTGCTGGGAGGTTTTATAGGAGGCTGGAAGAAGGCCTGAGCAGAGCCTGGTGCTCCTGTAAGCCCTTCTTAAATCAAAACTGCTCTTCAGAATTGGCTGAGACTCCCTCACAGGCCCACCCTCTTCTTGTTACTGGGATTACTGGAGGCAGAAGTTCTTCCCCTCACTGTGCATAGCTTCAACAACCAGCAGCTCACCTGCTGCTTGCTTCTGACCCGAGGTGTGCTGCAGAAGGAAATGAAACTTTAGCTTCATGCCCTTCTGAATAAGAATTCCCATTTATTCATGACAGCTCCTGTTTATGCATCTGCCCCAACAGTTTCCACTGTTGGATGGGAAGGCAATGTTTCAGCCACAGAGGACTGCATCATTCATAAGCACTGACTGGATTCATTTCTTTCTCTGGCACAAGTGAGCAAGCACGCTGGTTTCCTAGTAGATGCAGGTGCCTGCAGTTCATGCATGCCCAGCTGTGTAACCTTCAGGTGAGCTTCTTGCCATACTTGAAATTGGCAGATGCCTGGAATGTGTTGCAGATGAGTAGAAAGGAAAGAACAAGTGCACTTGTACACTGGTCTGTACACTGAAGAGGACTCCAGTTGCTCAGAAAACACTTGCGATATCCATCATTAGAAAAAAAAAAAAAAATACTGGGAGGCTTTGTAAGAAACATTTCTATTGATTCATACCACATCTAAAGTGATTTTCTGTGAACCTGCCCATCCCATCTCCCTTTCCCCCATATTACTCCTGCTCCCTGCTAACCGCAGTGGGAATGCCTTGAGCAAAGATCACTACTTATAAGCTATTAGCATTATTGTAACACAAGGCCCACAGACAAAACCAAAGCTCCATTGTTTCTGGTGCTAGAACCATACAGATGTCATGAGTCCCTATTACAGGGCTGGCACAGAAATGAGACAGCAGATCACAGCAGTCTTTGAAATATTACCCCCACCTGTTTGTTCAGGGCTCAGCTAAGCCAGCAATGTTCCCCAGAGAGTGGCATTACTAAAACCTCTTGGTGAGCTGACACCACAGGCTAGAAGGGAAGAATAATATTTCAAATAAGTGTACTGGCAGAGTTCAAAGGGATAATAAGCATTTAAATTCAACATGAAAGATATCTTCCTCTTCAGAGCTTTAGGAAGGAAAGTAGCCAGGCAGATAAACTATTTAAAAGCCCCTTTAATCAAGACTATCAACATAGAGATTTGTCTTAATTAAAAACATCCCCATTCAATCACATTAAAGAGAAAGTGATACAAAATGTAATTTATTCTTCTATTTTAATTTTTTAGAAGAACAGCAAAAACATTTCAACTTGCAGAGAACTCCTGCCTCATTAAAAGTTATCTTTGAGAAAAAGATTAATTTAGTCTATTTTGCTGCTCACATTTTCATTTGGAGTGAACTGCGCACTTCTATTTCTACCTTTGTAGAAACACACTCTCTTGGCTTCCCAAATATTTGAATTTCTGACTGTGAGCAATAAGAAGACAGGCAAATATTTATTCTCAGAAATTTCCTGGGGTCTCAAAAGAAGCTGAAGACGACAATGCACTTCAAAGTGGGGTCCCCAGCAAAAAATGAAGAGGTGCCTAAAGTCTGGATGGACTTGTGTTGCAAGGGCAATGCAGACATATAGAGAGAGCAAGAGGAAAACAAACAGGACCAGAGAAGGCCTTGAAGATTGGCAGTACCTGGAAAACTTCACAAATAAGCATGGCATCTACCTGAAAATAAATACTTCTCAGCAGGATAAGGGTTGCTGTTTTGCTGTTCACTTAGTTTCAACCAGACTTGCAGACCTGTGTCGTTACAGAGGAAGAGCAGCATATGGGACAGGCGTGAAGCCCGCCTGATCCTCCCACATGGTGCAGTCTGCCAGCTAAGAAACCTAACCCCAGGCAAAGAAAATATCACCATCTGACAGAGTTTTGCCAGCATGAAGCAGCATTTCTCTCAGACCATGAAGCAGTTCTGTGGGACAGCCATGGAGTTGCCAAGGATAGATATTGTTGTTACTAGACCTGAAGGGGTTATGGAGTCATTTGCTCATCAAGCTCCTATTTCTTTGCATTTCTCAGAAGTTCTGGTAATTTCTCCTCTGATTCAATCATCTTTGCCCAGCCAATGCTGACTAAAGTGACAGATGCAGGCACATGTGCTAATACCTTAGATACATGAAGTGCTACCTTTCAGTTATAATACAGCCATGTGCTGACTCAGCAATGTTGCTTTGGCTCTGGGCCTTGGTTGGTCACCTTTGGCAAAGTGTCTTTTGTCAGACTGCAGAAATCCAGAAACAGATTTGGAAGTGTCTCATGTTTTTCATTATGTCTTGAGCAGGGCAGTGTCAAGGGTCATCTTGTCCTCTCATAATGGCCAAAGTGGTCAAATATCCCATTACCTCAACAAAGCAGCAGCAGAGTAACCAAGCACTTCTTGATGAAGTGGAATGGTCCCATACAACCACCAATATGCCCAGGTTCTTCCATACTCCCCTCAGTCCCACAGTGCTTTTCTTCAAGCAACAAATATTGCTGTCTTTTGGTAGCCATACTAAATTTGTGCTGATTAAAGGACAGTTGTCCTGGCTGAGCAGGAAAATCTCCAGTGTCAGCCTCTGCTGTATACTGAGGTTGCTGCCTGCTGGAGCTCTTACAAGAGTTAGGCTGCTCCCTGGAGATGTCTGAAAATGATATATATTTATAGTCCTACTGGCACATCTGTGTGCAGAGGAGCATCTGCCTTTTTTTAAAAGGAAGGAACACCTGCATCATTATCGTTACCTATAAAACTGAAAGTAACTTCAAAGCAGCTCAGTCTCCTCATTTTGCCCTTCAGAAATGTCATGACACACTTATTTTCACCAGTCTCTATTTGCCTCATTTCCTAGAAGGGAAATGAGGCTGTGAGCAGAACAGAGCTGTGCCAGCTTATGGCAGCAGTCACCTGGCCTACACGCTCTTGTGAGATGTCGTAAGCTTACTAAGCCCTGAGTGCTGCCTCATTCTGCTTTGTGCATTACTGACAACTTTTCCTTGAACGTAACCTTTCTGGAGATGCAGAAAAGGCAGGATCTGCCGGAGCTGCTTGGATGAGTCCTAGGCATTAAATCTATTTCACTCTCACTTGAAACTAAATCTATTCAAGGATTATTTGATGGCTTTAGTTAATTAGCCATGTTTCTATGCTGGTTACTCTTAAATTCACTAAGAAAAGATTATTTTCAGTATTGTCTCTTAAGATAAGAAGTGTTACCTGCTTTTCCTGATATAGTCATCTCTTATTAAGTAGACAAGGAGGATTCACTATTGCCTCTTGAAGCTAAAGAAATGTCAGAGGTATGAAAACATTGACATTTTGCTGCAGTTAGATCTCTGAGATCAGCCAGGCAGCTCCCTGAAGGCTAGCTACCAGATTACTCATCTGATTTTGTTGCTGTGATATGGCATTTTTGCATACGCTTACTGTGAGTCACTCCCTCTGTTGTCAGCCCCTACACCAACTCCCTTGCCCCATCTGACACGGTTATAATGGTCTCTACATGGCCAGCACCAGAAACCTAGAGCTACTTGTAATGTTTGTTTCAGTAATGAAGAACATCCTAAAATCCTTGCTTCCTTTCCCAGTGCAAAATGAGATGGTACATATGATCTGCTTCGCAAATGCTAAGTATAACAGGATTAAATCCTTAAGGTGCAGAAGGCTTGGATAACTCAGCTGTGTCCGAATGCCCTAACAAAAGATTTTTACTTTTAAATGACTTCCCTTCCTTCCTCCTCTCCCAATCTCATTTTCATCTTATTACGAATCTCTTCAAGAGTACTGAAAAAAAATAAAAGATGAAAATAACTTGCCAGAACACTGTCTGGGCATTCAGGATGCATGCTTTTGGTCACCTACTGTGCCCTTCAGCCTTGTGCCAGTGCCTTTCAGCTTACTGTTGCCTGTATTTTTGATCTTGTCTGACTCTAGATCATGTAACAGCAGACAGCAGTCTTTCCACCATACAAAAGCAGGTTAATCTTTCTTTTGGCTGGGACAAACTGCAGGATGCCCTAGACTTATCTCACCAGTTCCAGCAAACTGAATATCTTTTTGGCAATTGAGAAAAGATTTACTCATTTCCATTTCTTTGCTAAGGGAAGTTACAAGAGATGTGCTGTAAGCAGTACAGCAATATAATTTGACTGACAGTGTCATAACTTTTTCCTAACCCCTTACCTGACAGGGCAGGCAAAGCAGTGCAAAAGAAACGTGAGTAACATTAGGAAACATCTTTCCTGAAGTTGACAGTTTCACATGAATTTTAGGAAAGAAAGCCCATCTCCACCATCACTGCAGTCTTCAGAGTAGTAAAGCTCTGCCCAAGGTATGGCAAGGCATTTTTGCCTTCTCACTGACTCTGTTCTTGGTCTTTCCACTGATTTGTATAATGGTTCAGGACATTAGAGTAAATCTTAGAGAAACAACAGCAATCTGAATAGTGAACCCTTCACGTCAGTATCCCACATATTTTTCCTTTCTTTCATCCAGCAGTGAACACATTGGTTCAAAGATGAGCATCTCTGAACACTCTGACTACTGTTTGATAAGAGGGATGGAAGAAACCCACACGGTAATAAGAAACCAGAAGCTACTGATCTACTTAAAGATACTGATTCTTCAATCAACTCAGGTTAATAAGATCGGGAGATCTTTTCCAACCAATATCATTACAGCTACGTCATATTAAAATCATACAGAACGTTAGAAGAGAAGAACTGGAAAATTCAGTACTTCCCCCCCCCCTTTCTTTAAGGCCTATAACACAATAGAATGCACAATAATGACAGCAGAGCAGCACAATCCCAGACTACAACAAGTGAGGAACTGCTCAAACATGACAGCAGGGAGTACAAAGATAAAGAAGAGACTACTTACCCTTGAAAGGCCTGACAACAAAGACTTCTAAGGAGACTCCCTCAGTTCCACTGCCAACCCTTAAATGAGGTCTGGGAAGGGGTGGATCCAGGCTCCTCCCTTTCCAGTCACTCAGGTGCATTGCATGCAGCTGAGCTCCCCTAGGTTGGCCCCGCCTTCCTGCCAGGTAGTCAATACCCTTTTCAAATTTCCAGTTTTCAACAGTATCGCAAGTCTGTCTGAGAGATACTATCCCCAGGAGCAGATGAGCCTTCTCCATGCATTGTGGAGGATGGTTTCTTAATTCATGGAAGCCAATCTAATTTTCATGAGGGACAGTCTGTTTTCACTTACCACCCCTGCACTCACGACCTTCTTTCAGCCAACATTTGCATTTTCAGGTCTTGCAAGGTGAATGAACAAAGTAGCTGTTTTGTTACTGCATTCATTTTCCAGAAGATCCATGCCCTTACATGCTTAATTGTACAAAGGCAAAAACCTAGGAGCGGTACAAAGCATGCAGCAGGAGCATTGTGCCACAGAAGGGCAAGGACCAGTCTTTCCAATGGTATCTCTGTCCAAGATCAGAATAAACCATACATAGTGCTGTCCTCTGCAGTGAGACTACTTCCAGCTCTTATGCCTCTGGTTCGCTCAGAGAGCTGCCAGTGCCACCCAGCCCCAGTGTGCATTTGGAAGTATTCGAGTAGTTTATTTTAGCAGCTCTTGTGTACACATGTGCACTGCTTCCTTTCAGCCTGCTGCACCCCTTTTTGCCTTGACCACAGCTAGAGTTACGTTGAGTCACAAGTTGTGGCTTATGATTTATTATTATTATTTTTAAAGATTCTAGATTCTTACTAGCTGTGGAGTGGTAGCAAAAGAGGCCATAGATGTTTCTACTTCGGTGTGAGCTATTTTATTTTATGTGTATATATATGTATAATTTAGGTGCCAAAGATGCAGATAAGAATCAGTGGTATTTACTAGCATGATAATATGGGAAAGAAATGGACTTTTATTCATGATTTCATGAATGATGATTTTCATGTCTTATCCATCCTTGAAAAGGTTTGAAGTCCAATGCACACAGGAGCATGGAACATTTATAGGTTAAGGTCTTGTGTGTGTTTTCCTAAGCTAAGGAATAGAAGACATTCTCAGGACTTTTTTCTTTCTCCCACTAGAAGCAGTATGCAAAATGTATTTTCCACGGTCACAGCATAAGACAAATGGGATGACAGTTTCTCTTAAGTACATTTCCGTCACTCCCTGATCCCCATAACTCTCCCAACTCTTCTCCTGAACCTATGCTGAAGGTAGAAGTTGGCTGCCTTTTCTGCCTCGCGCATTTCTGCCTTTGTACTTGCAGACCATGGTAGCTCTGCAAAACAGCAAACTGTAAACGCCCTCAGAAGGGCAGTTGATCAGTTTCACCTTACTGCTTTGCATGAGAATCAGATAGCTCTGCTTCCAGGAGACCTTGATCAATTTGCTTGTTTATCCTGCTTGAGACACAGCCATTGTGCATAAAATTTCAGTGAAGTTTAACAATTCCAGTGAACCATCTCTGTGATTTACAAAACAATACGGTCTGAGTAAATCCTTCGGGCAGAAAGAAAAGGATGTCAATTGATTAAAGAATATAGGTATGCCTACGAATAAAGCATTTTCCAGCAAGCTTGGAAAGCCACCGAAGCAAATACATGGAGCTGTTTATTCCTTTGAGGTATTGTTTAGGTTTCTTCCAGGTGTGAACATGTGTGCTGATTCATGTGGGAGTAGTTACTCTGTCCTTCTGGTTCCTAGGGTTTCAGGACTCTTACTAGGTTTTCTCTTCAAATCTTTTTGTACCACACTGATTACAGTACACTGTGCCCTCCCTGGTTAGTGCCAAGCCTTGAATTTTCTTTATCATGATAAGCAAGACCTCTCTCAGCTTTGAATGACAGGGTTTGTTCAGAGCAGAAGCAAGGATTTATTCCTTTCTTTAGCTGGAGAAGTCTGACAAATACAGGGTATACCCTGACTCCAAGGAAAGGGGCTTGGAGTCTCTCCTTAAGAGCCCTCTCCCTGCCTCTCATGAGCCCAGAAGCTAGGAAAGTTTGTTTTGTAGGACTGCCGTTACTGTGGATTTCAGCCTGTTTTCTGAGTTACCCTATGACAGCTGCAAGCCTGTGCCTTCAGAAGCATCTCAAGCACCTCAACATTAATGGAACCTGCTTACCCTTTCCTTGCTGGTGCTATGTCTGGGCTTTCTGCAGTACAACTCCTAGAAAACAAGAGTTAAATCACTGTGTTGTTTTTTTATATCCCAGTGGTACGTATCCAATAGAAATTCTATCAACCAACAGCAGAGTTTACATTTGCACAATTTCTAGACCAAACGGATTAACTGCTTATAAGTCATGTTGTGTACCAATGCTGGCTGCCTCATATTAATTCTTGTTGACAGCCCAGTTGCTCCAGATTGGCCAGAAAGTTCTAACTGGGCTGTTCTGAAGCAGATGCAGCATTTGTCCATTGTCTTTCCGTGGTAGAAATGCCAATAGGACTTCTTTTTTTGAGAGAGGTCACATTTATTTGGGTTCAGTATCTAACTGATACCTGTACGTTCATTGCTAGTCCTTCTGAAGTGATCCCATTTCCATGTGGATGTTTTAGATGAAATCCCACTATATGAACTTTATTTCTTTTTTTGTATGAACTTTATTTTGCTTCCAGCATCCAGCAGGAGATGAGATCCATACATCTCCTGAGCCCTGCAAGCTCAGTCCAACGTGTTTATCCCAACCTAGCCATGAAGGGAAGAAAACAAACCACCTATCTTTCTTACAGCAGGCCACAGCTTCAAGGCTTTGTTATGTATTATTCCTTTCATCAGTGAGAAAGCATGCAGAAAAACAGCAGAGTCTGGCTGATCAAATGCACCTAGTCAGAAATCTCATGATGTGAAGTCCTGGCATCACATGCAGTCGGATGCTGTTTGAATTTCCCCATCTATTTTGGGCAAGGCCTGAGAGACAGTCATGTGGTGCAGCGTTAAGTGCCTTGCTGAACCCAGGCCAAAGCTTAACTAGAAGAAACAGGCAGAACTTGTGAAAGCATGCTAAGAAAAGGGAAAGATCTTTTCCATTCTCTTTTCTGTAAGGCATGGAAATGAGGAACATGTCAACAGTAAATCAGCCAGAGAGGAACATTTGGATTAATGTTTCGTAAGTTTGCACATCTGGCCAATTACAAGACGTGATGTACTGCAAGCTCTAACTCTATGTATAGACCTCTGTTAAGTGATTAGGGGGAGAAATCTCCCTCCCCGCCTCCCCCAGATGCTTCACTTCCTGTTTTAATTTCATAATGGACAGTTGCATTTTCTGCTAATAATAATGGGATCTGTTTTTTCTCCCAGCACTTTGCTCACTGCATTTGGTAGATGAGCTGAGAGGGAAGCAGCCTTTAGAAGAAGATGGATGGCATAGCTCTGCATGCAATCTGCTGTGATGGGCATGGCAGCTCCGCAAAGAGCATCTGTCTGCCTTGATGGGAAAGACTTCCTGTTTACTTCTAAGGACAGCAGATTGTTTACAGGAGGATGCTCTTCCATACTAATGGAAGGGCCTGCCATCAGATTGCTGGCAGCTTAGCCCAGCCCTGAGGAACATGGGGCAGTGCTGGCTCTGAGGAGCTGTGAGTGCTGAGCTCTTTCCTCCTTTGAGATTCTTACTTATATCTCAGCCCTGTGAGTTATCTACTGTTCTCCTTCCCTACTGCTTCCCTTTGGGCCATTGTATGCCACTAAAGGGCATGATTTTGGGGGCTGATATTGTATGAGGTACCCAAAAGGTGTTCTCCATCTTCCCAAGGTGGTGGGATGAGGTTCAAGCCTGGCTGCCTGAGAACGTGGAAAAGCAATAAGTCCAGACACCCCATGTATGCTCTTATTTACCCCTAAAGATTTGTACAGAATGTGAGAGGGACATTAAGCAGCCGTGTGCTGCATGGGGTGCTAGCGTGAACGAGCGTATCAGCAACTGCTTGAGCCCACGTTTACAGGCTGTAGGAGAGACACATGCATAATTCATATACTTTTAATTAAATGGTAGCATCTCACAGTATATTGCATTTATTTTAATTACATTTATCCCCTCGCTCTTGTTGACCAACTGAAGCATCACTTTTTTTATCCTTTCAGTTACTATCTGAGCATAAACAACACTAATTGGACTTTAGGACAAGATGTGCCAAAGGAGCTGTGCCAGCTCTCCCCATAAAGATTGCAGTGCCAGAACAGGATGGCCAGGAGCTGCCAGGGGAGACAGAAACTGCCCTGGGATGCTCCAAGGAGAGAAGTCCTACACATTGTAAGGCTCCTCTCAGGCATGTGGAGATTGCCCAAACCAATTCAGTGTTGCAGGAGAGTTTCTTTTGGGATTAAGATATCCATAGAAAGAGGAGCTTGGAGTTTTTGCTGCTGCATTCGTATGTAACGCATACAGCTGGGAGACAAGGCTGCTGAGATCTACGAAGACACATTCTTTTTTTTTTTAATTCATTGCTGGCCTCACACTGTTTTATGGTAGGATCCTTCAAATGCAGTGAGCGCAGCAGCTCACCCACATCTTTCAGCATTGAGTAAGCTGAGCTGGACAGGCACAGGGCAGCTTGTATGGGATGTTTCACACTACCAGTGGGAGCACCAGCAGTTTTCTCCATATTGGGAAACCAAAGTTGAGTTGGTGGGGTAGGATGGGAGCTGGATATCTTGCAAGTGGATGAAAGTGCATTGCTGAGAAATACCATTCTGTCTGCTGGAAGATGGTTTCCCTCCTTTCAGAAAGATATTTAGCAACTATGGCTTGCTAGCTGCTGCTCTGCAGACCTGATTTTTGTGGGGTTTTTTTTGTTTGTTTTTTTCTGTTGGTTTGTCTGTTTGTTTTTCATAGCACACACACACAAAGGAAAAAAAAAACAAAACAATTAATATAGCTTCACTGTGGTTTAATGGTATTTCTCCTGTGAGACCAGGTGGGCAAACCTAGATCTTTGTTACTGATTTTGTTTCCACAACCGTAGTTCAGGTTTGGCAGGTGAGAGGTTGTGTTCCTATTAAAAAAGTAAAAGAAGGAGAGTAGCATCCAGCCTGTGCTGCCCTTGTGATTTATTTCACACTATATGTTGCAAGATTAATTCCAGCTGTGTTGCTTTGGGAAAAGAGCACTTACTTTGGAGCACCTGATGGAGATTAATGAGTTGGCAGTTTGGCTTTATGGAGAAATGAGACATTGAATCATAAAATAATTACAGTTGGAAAAGACCACTACAATCATCTAGTCCAACCCTTCCCCATCATGCCCACTAACCTGTCTCTCAGTGCACCACTGACATATTTCTTGAACATCTCTGGGGACAGTGACTCCACCACCTCTCTGGGCAGCCTGTTTCGATGTCTCACTATTCTTTTATTCTTTCTGAGAAGAAATTGTTTCTAACATCCAATCCCCTGGTGCAGCTTGAAGACATACTCCTATCACCATCACCTGGGAGAAGAGGCTGACTCCCTCCCCCCAGCCTTGCTACAATCTCCTTTCATGTCATTGTAGAGAGCAATAACGTCTCCCTGAGCCTCCTTCTCACCAGAGTAAATAATCCCAGTTCCTTCAGCCCCTCTCTGTACTTGTGCTACAGACCCTTCACACCTTCATTTCCTTTCTCCAGACATGCTGCAGGGCCTTAATGTCTTTCACCCCATCCCACATTTATTTTCTGTGATTTAAAGTTTGACATAGTAGTATGATGTTCCCTCATGGTGAAGTCACTAGAAGTCCTTCATGGTGGCATTCTGGCCATCACAGTGTCCCAGGCAGCATGGAAGCAGGTCAGATGGAGATGCTGGGGTACCTACAGTCCACTCCAAAAGAAAACCCTTTTCTCTTCCTGCCAAGCCACTTTTGTCCTTGCCAATCCTGGCACATAGAGAGGACCCACCCAGCCTGGCCAGAGCAGGTTAGCACAGAAATCTCATTTTTGTTGTTCTAGAAAACAGCAAGGCATTTTTTTTTTTTTTAAAAAAAAAGGATTCTTGAGTTCTTCAAATCATTAGGCTCTGTGATGTTAAGCATCAGTGGGTAAATATCTTCTTTAAACCAAAGAATTTGTGCTGTTCTCCTTGCACGTCCAAAAGATTTTGCTGATGGAAGGCAGAGGGAGAGCAGTGTGGGAGGGTGAGCAGCTCTCCATTGCAGAGCAGGGCAATCAGCGCATGGAGCAGTAGAATCCATGTGTCTTTTACACATCCTTACTGTGAGATGCTGTGCCAGATACTCTGATGTGTGGTCACTGGCACTGTATTTCACATACACTGAAAATATACAATTATACATAACTAATATCAATTGCATATGTAACAGTGCAGTTTTATATGTGTTGTTATATAATAAACTAAAAAGGCAAACATTTCTTTAGGTGGTGCTTAGCTGTCAGGGCACCAGCAGCAGACGGTGTGGTTGGCTTGCTGCTCCCTTTCTCCCTGTTGCTTTCCCCTCCTCTTCCCCTGACCATCACAGCCTTAGAGCCTGGAGCACAGCCACCCCATATGCTGTATGTGCTGCTGACAGTGCACAGGAAAGAGCTGTGATGGTCGGAGCTGCGAAAGGTGTCCGATGCCTCAGCTCTGCAGATCTCATGCCTGGCTTCTTACAAAAAGGGCAAGGCTGCTCTCCTTACCTCCCACCAGGGGATGGGATGCTCCCATGAATCTGCTCTGGGCGGTTGGAGGGCAGTGGCTGATCTACTATGAATTTCCTCATTCCCTGGCATCTCAGGCTGGATATCAGGAAAAGGTTCTTCACTAGAGGCTGGTTGGGCACTGGAGCGTGCTCCACAGGTCATGGCACCAGCCTTGCTGGAGCTTGCTCAAGAGGTGTGAGGACACCACTAGTAGCCATATGGTCTGGTTTTTGGGTGGTGCTGTATGCAGCCAGGAGTTGGACTCAGTGATCCTTATGGGTCCTTTCCAACTCAGGATATTCTGCGATTGTATGGTCTCTTCCGTAGGTATGGTGACAGCCAGCCCTGGGGCGGGGGGGTTGCTGTAGGGTTCTTCTTTAGGGTAAATTGAACTTAGGCGTGTGGGGATCCCTGTGCTGGCCACCCAACGGCTTCACTGAGGGTGGCAAGAACATGGCTATGGCATCTCACAAGGGCTGGGGCTTGCTTCACCAACCTGCATCTGCACGGGCATCTTCCTGACCCACAATAGGCTTTGTGCAGCATGGGTGGGCTGCCAGCTATGGCCTCATCTTCCCTCAAAGTTAATAGCTCCTGTGCAATGTCTCTTTTCTACTCTAGAAAGCACACCCCCTGAGAAAGAGACTTGATCTTAATGACCTCACGTCCACGATGAGTCACTTGATAATAAAACAAGAAATGTTTCAGATTTATATCTCTACAGTCCTCATGCTTCATAGTCCCAGCCAAGTTACACAGGTGTGTTAGGCGGCCTTTCAGTGCACAGCTGCTCATCCCCTGCACCCCAGAACACTATTTTTTTAAGTAAAGACAGATCTTAAGGGGAATTAATTAACTAGATTTTCTGGCTGGATAATCAATTTTCTTGGTATAAATTGAGTGCTGATGGAAGAACATTGATCTGTTGCATTTCCCTGTATAGAGATTAAAAATAGATGAACACCCAGCTGGGGAAATTGTGATGGGATCGTATTCCTTCCCAGTACAGAGTTTTGGCAGCCTCAGAAAATGGGGTGAATATTACTGGGATTTCATTTCATAAATGCATTGGGAAAGTGAATGTGAAAATGTCCTAATTTAGAGATCTTTGAACAAAAGAAAGTAGAAATGTTTCATTCTGAAGCAGCTTTCCATTAGACTGAAAGGCTGGCAAGACCAAGGACAAAATCTAAGTGAAATGTTTTAATTGTGTTTAAACAAAAACTACTTACAATTATATTTTAGAATACTTTTTAACATATTTATGTATTTATTGCATTTTCCTTCACAGAGCAGCTCAGAAAGTTGGGGTCTCTCAGCCCTGAGTGCAGTGGATGCCTTATCCCCAGCCCTGCATCCCAGCAATGCCTTTTGCTACACTGGGGACCCAGCTCAGACACCAGCAGCATGCCATGGTTCATGTAGCTCTGCCTTGGTCTCACCAAGGTTCCATTGCTGTGAAGTTCAGCAGTGTGCCCTACTGAGGGACCACAGATAACCAGCACATACAACTCGACCACGTGTTTCCCTTATGTATGTGTTCATGGAAGGCTATGTACATGTTTAGGAGGTCCCATGCCTCCTGAATCACTGATCTGACTACAAATTGCTCAGACTCCGTGATTTATTTTTCATCTCATTTATTGCAGGCATGAATACAGGAACAGGTAAACAGCTGAGCCGTAAAAGTTTCTCTCCAGGCATGTTTTCAACAAAATGCCATCACACACTGTCTGGTGATACATGCTGCTACCCAGATGGAACAAAACGGGGTGAGCAATCTTTCCTTAAAGCTGCTGCCCACCAGCCTAGGCTGCAGCTGCCAGAGAAGCCTTCTCCTCCCCTCACTCCCTCTCTTCCTTCTCCTTCCCATGGGTTCTTTTACGGCACTTAACTTTACAAAACACAGTTGTGAGGCTGATCTTACATGCAATTACAGATCAGCACCAGTATATTTATTGCAAACTCCTTAAACATCAGGACATCAAAATTAAAAAAAATAGAAATAAAGAAAAGAAAGTAGAAGAAAAGAAGGAAACAATATTCCGTTGCATAATTACGAGTAGGTTTTTGTAGCCAATGAACCAAAATGTATTCAGAAGAATAAACAGAAAAAAGAAAAGAAAAACAAATGATATTCATAAACAGTTCAAACAAAACATGGTGCTGCCTCCAATGAAACATTTCCCTGCATTGCCAGCTCTGTTTCATGAGCACATAGGGTCCTGTATCAAGAGAGATGTGAAGCCACGAGCTAAAGCTTCCCAGGAGTTAATTTTCAAACACTGCATTTCCAGGAGAGCTGAGTACATTTGAACGTAAGAGATCTGCACACAGTGTGGGATCCGATTGAGACCGGGGATCTCGAAAACCCCATTATCCCCTTTTAAACAAAATAGTGAAAACACCTGAACCACACAAAAATGAGCCACAATTGGTTGGCTTGTTGGCTTCCATAAGAGATTGCAATATGAGAAAATATTTAACTCCTTGCATAGCTGCTGAATTGGCCGCTAAATTTTGCTTGAATCACTGAAGCATGACAACCTTGCATTCTGCCAATTGGCAACTTCACACTTGAAAGCAGAGCTCTGCCTGCCAGGTCAGGACGCCCTGTTGGGCTCTGCTGAAAGCCGGGAGCCCCAGAGGCTTTGCCAGTGTGGCCATACAGGAAGCATCCCCAGCTGTCCTGGTCTCATAACACCAGCTGATGCCTCTCAGCTCCAGCCAGTGGCGGCTGTCCCAGCTCTTTGCTCCCCCCCCCCGTGAGGGAAGAAAGCTGTTCTGACAACAGGGCGTTCGGTGGCATATTTACATCTAATGAGCTAGTTCTTGCTTACAGAGCTATGCTGGTCACAAATCGAATCTCAAAGGACCCCTGGATGGTGTAGCCTTGTTGGCAAGGGCTTGCAATGTAGGCCTAACCAGAGGGACAGAGGGCAGGATTCATCTCACTTAACTATAAGCAATTTAAAGTAGACACTGAAGTCAGAGGCACCTCTGGAAGGCAGTCCCTTGGATCTCTCTGCAGGTGAGAGCTGGACATATAGCATTAGGTGAGATGAACCCTGTCCCTGGAAGGCTGGAGGGCAGGTTTCCTTCCAGCCACCCCGTTCTGTCAATAGCTCTGGAGACCATGCTTCAGAAGGCTGCTGTTTAAATGTGTTATCTTTACATGTGTCGATGTACATGATGATGATAGCCTGTGCTGGGCTTCATGCTGCCACAACTACATATGCAAGCTCATTAAAGCTAGCTCAGATACTTCTGCGCTATTTTATAGACATTCCTTTGGGCAGAGTATCCTTTCACACCTGTAAATTTAAGCCTAGGGGCAAACCTAGACTATATGCCCCCAGCATATGTTCATGTTGACGTTGTCTTGTTTGCTGTAGTTTGGATCGCAGGTGTCCTAAAGTTATGATTTCCAACTGGAGGCGAGGCAGGAGTGTTTGATATTCAAAGGATGTAGAAACTGAAATGCTTAGGTATGGCTGAAGAAAATACATAATAAGAAAGAACAACATGATGTCATTATGCAGCTAAAAGTTTAGTTCAGTATCAGTCTAATGCGTTAAATAAAGCTCCATTAGACTGCAGAACAGGAAACAGTGGCAGCCAGTAGATAAGACACTAAAACAAGACAAGGCAACGTATGTGGGGGTTTTTGGGAAATGCCCCACTGGAACTGAGTGACCACACGAGCCTTTCCCTCTCCATTTGGGGGGACAGAGGAGATCAGCTAGGCCAGAGCAGCCCCAGCTGTGGGGACATGGGCCACTGCAAAGTCACCTTGGTTCACATTTTTTGCTTTCCGGTTCTGAATAATTTAGCGTAAGAATTTTTAGACAACAGAAGTAAAAGGCTGCACTTAAAAAAATAAACTAATAGCTTGTTGATGAGCAAGAAAATCAGAAGGGCTGGTCTGAGTCAGGCATTCCATTTTACTAAAGGCTTTTGCGTATGTGACCAGACTGCCCTAATGCAAGGAACTGGATGTTTACCCCCAGACCTGAAGGCACATTGCAGGGTTCTCAATGTCCATTCCAAGGCAATCAGTACAACCAAAGCGTGCACTCAAATTTGATTTCCTTTGTTTTTCTCTCAGTGATGACTTTGTGAAACAGCCACCGGATCACATGGAAGTGGACACCGCCTAACTGCAGGTAGCAGACCAGGTCCAGATAGGGCCAGTGCTGTGCCATTTGCAAACCTACTTTACTTTCCTGAAACAGGATCTCTAATTAGAGTTTTTGTTTATTTGTTCTTTCCACTGCTCAGTTCTGTTTGGATGTGGACAAAGGTGCTGCTGCTCCTCCCTCCATCGGGACCTTTAGAGAAGTGGTGAACAAGGAGAAATGGGAGACCGAAGATGCAGACTTTGATATGTGTTCCATGTTCCCTTCCTTTCTGATCTCTTCACAGCAATTTAATGTTCCTAATTCATTTTTAATAACCTCAGACTGATGGAGAGGTACATGAAAACATTCGCCTTGGCACCATAACCAGAAGACGGACAGCATACAGGTTGTGTCTGATTACCCAGCAATGTCATCGGAGTGCTCTGAAATCTGCAGTCCAGGTGTGTTTCTATGACTCCTTGTGCCCATTCCTGATGTTGAGCTATATCATTGCATTTTGCATTGCGGATTTCTACCTCACAGTTGTACTGTTTATTTGTCTCCATTTCACGGTAACCAGAAAGGTTTGGGGTGCTGGATTTTAACTGGGAAGCCTCATGCTAGTTTCGTGTCCCAGTAAATCTAAGATAGACAAGTCATTTTATACCTCTAACATTGCAATCCACAGTCATGTGATGCTCTCAAGATTTCTCCTCTCGAAGAGAAGGCAGAAGAGCACAAGCTAACTGAAGGAAACTCAGTCTCACAGCAATCACTTCCCAGCCTCCTCACAAACAAACGGGTTAAGCTGAGATAAAGCCATTGTAATCAGTATCAAATTAAGGACAATCTTTTATCTTAGTACAAACCAGAGAACACAGAGTACAGAGTAACAGAAAAATATACATCTTCAGCCATACAAAACACACAAAAGCTTTCCTGTTGGAATAGTATCTCGTAGCTGACAGTCAGTTGTTAGTAGCTTTGTAGGCAACCCTGCACTGCTGGACAGGGGGAAATGGAGAACTGCTCTTTAAAATTTAGGAAACTGTTGATCATATTACGTGTATACCACAACACACTCCTTGAAGCTGCGGTCCTGCTAATGAGAACACCCACCCAACCCTGTTCCACAAACTATTTGTATTATTTTTAATGTGATCGATAAATCAATGCAGCAGGAAGGTGAATCAGAGAGGGGAAGCACCCTGGCTGTGCTAGCTGTACTCGTGCTGCCCAAGCTTTGTAGCTGGAGCCATCTATGTGTGGGCAAGCCTGAGTGCCCAGCAACATGGGGAAGCTAGAACTTCCCACCAAGTTACAAAAAGTCAGTATCAAGCTAGAGAGTCAGTATCAAATTGCTTTAAACAACTGGGTTTTTTTTTTTAATCATTAATGGAAATAAAGTAAGATTTAGTTTCAGGTTGAGGTTGAGAAGGCAGACTATGGGGAGTGTCGGGTACGTACACCTGTGTGGAGAGGTGTCCTCCCCCTGCAGCTATTTGTATCTCTGAGTAAAGGTTAAGGTTAGGAATTTAGTAAGACAGCCACTCGTTTTTCTGTGGAGACTAACAGTCCTGGGGTTAGGAAGTAATAATCATTCTTCTGCTTTAAAAACGGTTCTTTAACAAATAGCAGTAGCTCATTGCAATTTTCAGTTGTACAAAATGACATATTTTCTATGTTACTATCAAAATATTCTGCATAACATTAATTTCTGTGCACTTATTAACATATGTACAGAACAGTGTTTCCCAATAGAGATCAGTTTGCTCCTTGCTGATCCTTTTTACCCTAGATTTACCAAAACCAAACCTGAAATTAACTGTGTTAATAGTATAAAATCTCAGGAGAGAGAAAGGATTGAAGGTTTATTTCCCAGCAGCAAACGAATAAAGGAACTCCTTCAAGTTAAAGTCTAGCCAAGACTGAATTTTAACCAACCGTAGTGAATCCAGGCGAGTCAGGAATATCACACGTTTTCCCGATGCATTATGTTGAGTACACAGAAGCAGAGGAATGTAAACAGACAGAAGGCACATGAAAGGCCCCAATCCATTCTCCATCAGACGGAAGCGAGAATTTCATAATTCTGTCATCAAGAGTCTTTTCATCATTTTCTCTCTCTCAAGTTCACGCCTCAGAGTCTCAGCGCTGTGTAATTAATGCACAAACAGCCAATTATGGGAAACACAATAAGTCTCAGATTTCAATTTAAAATAATTAACATTTTTGAAATACCAAAAGAGGGGGAAAAAGGTCAGACTCAATTCAGTGAAAAGGCTGATAACTGATGGCTGATTCAAAAGCTTGATATTTCTGAAGAGCAAACAGAAGCAAGTAGAAAGACGCAGAAAAACCCACATGGCTAAACTGTTTATGTTTTAACCTCACTCCTGCTAAAGGCTACCGATTTCAAAGGGAGCTGGATGAGGACTCAAAAATAAAGCAAAACAGCTACAGTAAATGCCAGCTCTCAAAAGAACGGTGTTACAGCCCTCTGCTCCTCAGCAATGTGTGAGTTGGATAGACATCCACCTACACTGAATTTACTTCACATGCACAGGTCAGGGTAGGGGAAGCAGAGCTTGGATGTCCTTGCTCACACACCAAATCTCTCACTGGGAGTGTCCTGAGCTGCTGGTCCCATTTCTAATAAATAGCAAAAATTGGGAAGAAAAGCAACAGTTTACTGTGTTGTTCTGAGGGTTCGGTGGCTAATGCTTGGAAAGCATTATGGAGACATTTTGCCAGTTTTTGTCCATTATGGACAGTTATACAATTATAGAATGTCTTAGGTTGAAAAGTACCTTAGGATCACCCAGTTCCAAGCCCATGCCATGGGCAGGGCTGCCCTCACCAGCTCAGGCTGCCCAGGGCCCCATGCAACCTGGCCTTGAGTACCTCCCAGAATGGGACCCCCACAGCTTCTTGGGGCACACTGTGCCAGTGCTTCACTGTCCTCTGAGTAAAGAATTTCCTCCTAATGTCTAACCTAAATCTCCCCTCTTTTAGTTTAGCACTACAGCTTCACAATTACACTTTCACTGTAACAACACATTTTAAGGTGAGTTAGAAGTGTTGACCAAGTGTGCAGGTGCAATTAAACCAGTATCTGCAAAAATACTAAACAAATGATAGTGGGAATTGACTGGAAATCCAAAATTGGAGCATCTAACGTATCATAATGCCAAGGAAATATTTTTCTATTCGACATAAGCTTCAGACCTTTTGTGTTCCAAAAGTACTGAGTATATCCACTCCTACATTTGTATTCAGTAAATCATCAGGTTGGGAAATTCAGCTTTGATTAAACTGTGAAATAAGAAGCCAGTGTGCAAAACTGATAGGATGGAGGAATAGAAACTGAATGCAGTGGAAAGATGGAATGGCTTGTTTTTCTGAGAAACTGTAAGAAACATCACTGTAGGCTGACATTACAGGAAAAAAAAAAACAACAAACCGAAACAAAAAAAAACCAAGAGGACAAAGTAAGAAAACAAGAAAACCGGTGTCTGTTTTTTATTTAGAAGGGCAGATATTTCTTAATTTCAGCCTCCCCCCCATGGACATTTAATATCAAAAAACAAATTGGAATATAGCAATTATTAAAGGAAAACCGTAGTTCAGGGAAAATGACTTGTCTGAGGAAAATCTGCACAACCTTTTCTCTCCAGGCCATTGACTATATAAATGGTACACTGCTGGCTGCAGCAGTTAATTAAGTTCTTGTGGTTTTGTTTTGTTTTTTTGTTTCTCTTGCCTCAGAGATGTGAGGTCTAGTTACTTCCCTACAAAACCCACCTCTTCTGAGTATCGAGAAGCAACTGAAAATCTTTTGGTATCGGGGGTAAAAAGGCACTTTAGAAAGAAGGTGAACTTTCCCCACTGCAGTTAAGACAGAAAAAGAGATATCTCACCAATTCCCTTATGCACAGAGTGTGAAAGAGCTGCACAGTACCTGTCGGCCAGCGATATCGGTTTATGTGACGTGTATATTGTCTGCACTGTTGGAGTCGGCACAGGCTCTGCCAGGGATCTCAGAACAGGAGATTTCGGTACCGGCGAAAGCTTGGGAGATGACTGCACCGCACAGCACTGCAATTTGCTGTCTGTGAACTCTGCCTACAAAAGATGCACACAGACAGGGAAAGAAAAGATTAGCTTCTACTGCTCTTGCTCACTTCAGTCCTGTTCATTGCCAAACCCTCAATACCAGCAGCTAATAAAGAGAAGGAGAGGCTGCAGCTTGCAGTGCAAGCTGCGTGTTCGTGGAGCGGCCAACTCTGCTGTCAGCATTCACAACTTACTGTCAGGGACTCTTTCTCGTGCCAAACCACAGTGGGTAGCACTAAGCTGTATGTGTGATCTGGGAAGATCATGGAGCAACTGCAGGCTGCCAGTACCTTGGGACCTTTGGGGTGCACTCCTGCTGGATTTCTATCATGGCAACTTCTGTTCAGACTTTGCAGCAGGGAGGAAGAAAAGTCACCATCATAAGGGAGCATATGATATTTATCCAGCTATGTAAATAGCAAATTTCCTTTCTTAATTTTTTTTCCTCAAAATCTGCAAGCCACATGGCATTAATGCTTAAAAAAAAAAAAAAAAAAAAAAAAAAACAGAAATTCAACCAGTGGTACAATTATTTGGGCCTAGGAAAGCATAGCTGTATTAGGAGGTTCATTTTCTTTCTGTCCTTCTTAGCATGTCCTTGCTCGTGTTTCAACTAAAAGCATGTGATGTGCTCCAAGAGAAGCTCTGAAGCAACGGGAATTCCATCAATTCCATGAAATTAAGAAAATGGAAAGCGTAAAAGCAACTAAAGAAAGTCTCCTTCCTTAATCCCAGTCAATCTTAAGTGTAAATACTAGCTAATATATCCTGTTCAGACTCCTCCCTCACTCATCTCAGCCTGACAGGCTACAGGGACATCACTTTGGTATTCCATCCTCTAAGGGATGAGTATGAGCAGCAGCACTACCTGTGAAGCTAATGTAAGTTCTCCCAGCCCTACTGAAACAGCAGTGCTATGGCAAATTACACTTGCTAAAGATTTGTCCTGAGTCCTAAAGTGTGTTTGCTTGGGATAATGGTTTTACTGTACATATCCAATGCCTCTTTTTATATATGTATGCATTTACATATATACGTATGTTTGAAAAAAATATTTTGCTGGTCTAAACAGATACAATTCCATTAACTTAAGTTTGTGTGACTTCTACCCACTGGCAGTACGGCCATTAAGCCTACTTGAAATTTCTGAAATTTAGAGGGGTTCCTGGCATGAACCTTCTTTTTAAAGATTATAGGAAACAAAATTCTGTGCTTTTTTTCCTCAACATCATTGCATATACACCACAAAATTAGAAGCCATGACCTCAATAACATTTCAAAGTTCTGTTCCAAGCAAAATAAATGAATAAATAAGAAAAAGTGAAGGGGAAGCAGAGAAAAGGAAAACAAAACAAGGAACTGGAGTCAGAAATGCTGGTAACCATCAGGGACTATGTCTGGAGGATACTTGAGTGATATCCAGCTGCAGGACTAACTCTACCTTTCAAATACTTTGCTGGGGAAAAGCAGCATTTAGATCCAGTCCTATGATCAGGTTTATTGTGAAAGAAAAGCCTCTTTCTTTAAATCAGTAAGTGCAGCCAGTCACTGCATATGGCCCAGCAGTGAGTTACACGACTCTGATTCTGTGCTGGATATAGATTGCTGCTACCAGTAAAAGCTATGGTTGAAGTCTGAAATGCTTGATTCTGTGGATGTAATTTGACAAAACAGAAGTTACTGCGGTTTACTACTAGAGGCAGGGAACGTTGCTTACAAAGCAGAACCACTCCTCATACTGGAAAGAATGGGAAGGGTTATAATCAGAGTTCCACATCCCATATTGCATTATATTAAGTGCTCAAAAATCTTTTAAAATTCTCTGAATTGTCTGTAGATTATTTTGTCACACTTATTACATAATGTTCTACCTTTAAAGTAGGACTTGGATTGGACTTCTTTTCGAGTTGTCTAATGATTGTTCATACTCACACACAGTTTACCAAAAGCTCTAAATCCCACCATCTCTGAAAGTTTAGTAAGAATTAAGTCTAATATTTGACTCGGGTTATTAAGTAAACGCAGGAGTTTAAACAAGGATACCACTGTAGTCATCAACATGCTAACTATAATTCTTCCTCAAAATTCAGATGCAAATTCAGTGAAAATCCGGCTTCTTTTTGTGATGGCACAGCAGGCAGTTTCAGGCAGCAGGCCATGCAGTTGCTAGAGAGAGGACTAAGTCATCTATCCCCACACCCTAGGAAAGATGCGGTTGAGCTTCGCGTGAGCCTTCAGCAGCTCTGAGCGGAGCAGTGTTTGGGGACTGGCTGCATTAGCAGTGAGCTTCATCAGTTGACTCTTAGTCCTCTGTCCAGTATGCATCAATATCTGAATGCAGGCACGTTCATTATTTGCATAATGGGAATATTTAACAGATTTGCACTCTAAAGTTTGCTTGGAGTTTATCTTTTTTTGAGGACTGTTTAACGCATATGTTTCTAATACTGTTAAATTATTCCTTGGAATTGTGTTAAATACACAGCTTTTCAGTTGCACATTCTACTTACAGAAAACTGTGGTACTGTTGTAAAAGGATCGAAAAAAGGATTAGATGTATCAGCAGGGAATGTCTTTATCTTTAAAAAAGATAAAGAAAAAGATGTTACTTTCAGAGCATAAAAATGGAAAAGAAAAAAAAAAAAGCAGCAAAGCATTGCAACTACAGTGACACATCCAACAAATCAGAGCAGTTCAGCAGCGCTTGGACCAGACCAGAAAAGACCCCTCCAGAAATGCATACAGAAACCTGATGAGGAACAGTCAAAGCATAAATATGAAAACCTGAGAGACACAAATTTGTTATGCACATGAAGTACCTTTCAATCCTGTAAACAGTCATCAGATCATTACCTGCTTCCTTCAGTGAGCACCACATTGTAAAATATGCAATATAAAGTACAGGAACCTTTTTTTTTTTTTTTTTTTTTTTTTTTTTTCCATTGTAGAAACTTCATCTGAAGAACTTTATTTATGCCATACATATTTCGGACCTCCAAATTTTCTGTTACACAGTTGCTGCCCAAGACAAACAATCACTGAGATGGGATCGAAAGACAACTCTCTGTAAAACAAGCCCTGTGGACAGTGGTTTGCTTCAGGCATTTGCTGGGACCTGGCTGCCTGCATCCAGCTGTGGGCTGCCAATCAGGGATGAGTTTTGGGGGTTTTCATCATAGGACTTGGGGTCACAGTCAGAGATGAGCATGTCCCTGGTCCCCTGGGCAGAGAGGGCTAAGAATGACCAGAGCTCAGCCCCAAGCATACTGTCACTTGCCCCACGGCCTGCTGGAAGTCACTTCTGCCCTTAGAACTACTTCAAATGTTAATGGAAATTAAGGAAACATGCAGAGTGGAAACAACTTCTGCCCTGCTCCACTGCACGTGGTGTTTCTCATGATTTTCCTCTCTGGAGTGCAGACATTTCTCATTCATTCAACAGGAAGATAAAATATCAGATGCTTTGAATGGCACTTCACGCTTTCCATTTTAGAAAAAAAACCCACATTTTTCAGTGTACAGGTGTGTTTTTCACTTTACTATAGAAAACGCTATACATTTGGTGTGCATGTTTTCAAGCATAATTCACTACCTCCAGCTACAGAACTGCTGTTGGATAATCAAGACAGCTAGCCTGAGGACCCTAAGCCCTTGTAAGCCAAAGAAAAACCTGAAATTATGACATCAAATATAATTAAGTGTATAGTGTTTATTTTGCAAATAAAATAACAGAAACATATTTGGCTTATAAGGATGCCCAGGGAAATTAACAGCCATCTGTAGGGCTGCTTCTGCAAATACATGGAATTAGTCTGGCCTTAATTGTCAGGCTTCATACACACACAGATTATAGACGGCAAAGATACATACCCTTTTTAACAGAACAGAGGTGGCTATAATCACAGAGGTGCAAGTGAACAAACAACTGTGCAAAGGAAAAATGTTTTAAATTACAATTTCCTGTGCAAATACATTCAAGAAAATCTCACTTTTTTAAATAGATGTATGTATAATCTTGTCTTAGTAAAGTGTATGTTGCTGGTTGAACCTACTCTTGGCATTGACGCAACAGTTCCTTGCAGGTACAAACAGTACAGGACAAAGCACAGGCATGCTCCACTACAGATGCAGTCTTTTATCCAAGGGCAGAGCAGCACAGGGACGGACAATTGATTGCTCATAGATAGGCAGGTTGAGTCTGATGTGCTACAGGCAACATCTTTCTCATTTTGCAGGTTGGGCTTATTAAGGAAATGAAGAGCAGTTACTGAATATAGAAAAGAAAAATGACACAGAACAATTTTCAGGAGCCCACTGAGGTTTGGGAGCAGAGGTGCACAGGGACAGCCAGCCCTGGCAGCACGCCGGGGCATGTAGCGGTGCAGAGCTCCTTCTTGTAAAATCAGTGCTGTGAACTGTGCCTATGGCAGAGGCCAGCAAAAACCAGATAATCTGGCTTAGTTATCAGCAGGAATTCCTCTCTAAAGGAGCTGTGCTTATTTAATCTCAGGAATAAAACAATCCTGACAAATGAAAGGCTCTGTAGGTTCCAAACCCACCAATTTCCGGCATTTTAATGAAGCTGAAAACAGAAATTAAGGGACAGAGGGAAAAAAATAAAGCATAAATGTGTTCAATTTAAGAGTGAGAAAGAGAAGCCACCCTGCTCAGCTTTTAGGATTTAGTCTTTCTTTTTTCATCTTGTTTCTTTCTGCTGCTCAGATGGCACAGTTTGAGCAATTTGTTAGTTTGCCTGCCCTGAGCTTTGATAAGAGCACTGTTGCTGCCTGCTCACTGCTGTGAGAGGCCCTTATCTATTCATAATTTGAGAAGGAAATGGGTATCACATCCTAATCCACCCAAGTGCAGAAAAATTCATTATACTCAAGAACGCTTGAACCTGGAGAGGAATAACCACATGCATCAGTACAGGTTAGGGGCTGACCTGGTGGAAAGGAGCACTGCAGAGAAGAACATGGGTATCCTGGTGGATAATAGGTTGGCCATGAGACAGAAACATGCCCTGGTGGCCGAGAAGGCCAACGGGATCCTGGGGTGCATTAAAAAGCGTGTGGCCAGCAGGTCGAGAGAGGTGATCCTCCCCTCTTACTCTGCTCTGGTGAAACACATTTAGACTGCTGTGTCCAGTTCTGGGCTCCCTGGATCAAAAAAGACAGATCTCTTAGAAGGAGTCCAGCAGAGGGCCACAAAGATGATTAAGGGCCTGGACCGCCTCCCATGTGAGGAAAGGCTGGGTCTGTTCAGCCTGGAGAAAAGAAGACTGATGTCTATAAGTACCTAAAGGGAGGTGGGAGGCAAATGGAGGAGGCCAGGCTCTTCTGGGTGGTGTGTAGCAATAGGAGAAGGAGTAATGGCCTAAAACTTGAACATAGGAAGTTCTGTAATAACATGCAGAAGAACTTCTTTACAATAAGGGTGACAGAGCACTGGAAAAGGTTGCCCAGAGAGATTGTGGAGTCTCCTATGTGGATATTATATTCTAGATCCATCTGGACACCTTCCTTTGTGACCTGCAGCAGGGAACCTGCTTTAGCAGGGGTGTTGGACTAAATGATCTCTTCAGGTCCCTTCCAACCTCTGCAATTCTGTGAACTCTTTTCAGACTGAGTCTAAGGTAAAATGGGGAGGAAGTAAGGAAAAGCATCAGTTAGGCATCTGGCTTACATAAAACTGCATTTGGAAATCTGAAAGGCCATTTTACTCAAGAATACACATTAGCCTTCTTGTGCATGTCCACTATGCCCACCAGTGGGCTGAGGACAGCAGCTGCACCAGCCCCTGAGAGGGGGAAGAAAACCCTGCCTGCTCCTGCCCCACCATTCCAGGAGAGCGGTGTTGATGTCAGTCACTTCCTGAGCCCTGCCTTGGGGATGGATTTATTGTGTAGTGTCAAAACTCCAAGTAGCTCAGAAAACAGAACTGCTGCCTGACTAGAACCAGAGGCCAAGACCTAAATGTCACCACCTGGGGACTGAGAAGGGAAGAGGAGCAGAGCCACCCCCACAATCTATGGCAGATCTGCTGTTCTTCCATTCCTGGAGACCTTCAGGAGCTTCCAGGCTTCATCTGGGATTGCAAATGCAAGGGGACGAGGGAGAAGGAAGGACCACCTGGTATACAGAGGCTGCAGAAACATCATGAGCAGCAAGAGGACAGAGCTGCATTCTTGCATAGATAGACTTTCAAGTGTAAAACAAGATCTTAACCACACCTGTTCTCCCCACAGGAGTGAAAACCGTCTTATAGACAAAGTCACAACCACAAAACAATTTTAAAATAAGGCCCTGGAGGTACCTGTCATGTCACAGGGGCATGGCGTAGAAAGGGAGTGAAGGCTCTGCATGCCCCAGCAGCCCTGTACATGCTGAGGGCTCATTTCACAGCCTCGCATGCCTTGCTTGAATGCTCAGGGTGTACCACCATAGCAGAACTGCATTGGACAAGTAGCTCCTTGTCTAAAATGTTTAGCTTGGCAGGTTGAGAATTTACTAAGCTTAAAAGAACACTTGGCTCTTAAAAAAAAAAAAAAAAAAAAAAAAAAACTGTGAAAATTATCTACAGATAATTTGCTGCTAGTACTCAAAGATTCTTGTTACACTATTAGCTGTCCATTGGGCTGACATATTTCGGAGATATCTGTCACAACTAGAAAGAATTAACAGCATTCATTTTCCTTGAAATTTGTACTGCACATTAGAATGAAGGAGGTTGGAGGAAGAAAACGGACAACACGATGAGAACATTCTCCTTCTCTGAGCATTTGTGCAAAACGTTCCTCTGGACAGAGTTTAAAATCTCAGTAAAAACACTTGTACTTTCCTGATACACCTTTTAAATGGGTTAGAAGGAAAAGAAAATGAATGTTCTCATAAAAGCAAACAGAAGTGCAGAGAGACAAAGTGAGAATTCCCACCTGAAATGAAAACTGCAGGAGACTGGTGGAAAGTGAGTCAGTAGTTGGAATGTGTTAAATGATATAAAATTAGCTATTTTGGGTATTTCTATCAGAGGGGAATATTAAGAATGTCTTTCCTACTACAAAAAAGAAAAATGGTTTCTACGCTTTAGGGAACAGTGTGCTTAATTTGGCTATCTTCTACATTTAGAGTACCCAGGATACCCACTGCCCTGCCACAAGACATTCTACCAGGGTCCGATACCATGTTGTGCTGTTGACGTGCAGCCACTGTTCTTCACTCCCCTTGGCTTTATGCCCATCCCATGCACCTTGACCAGAGGCCTTACAACGCACTGGAGAGGCTATGTGCTGTCAAGAGATGTGCACTGTGGCTTTGTACACTGGCCAGACACAAGGCAAACTGTTGGCCAAACACTTCAACAGCTTCCTGTGCCTCAGAGCAAAAGCAGAGCTGCTAACACCTGAAAGGTGTTAGTATCTCTTTCAGTATACGCATACAGCCAGAGGAATATTCTGCGGTGCTTTATTTAAAAATACATGCTATAAGATAAACACTGTCACCTCCTTCCAGCACAGAGATTTGTTTCTGCTTTTCAAACTAGAGAAAGACAGCACCCGAAACTACTGGAATACATTGCA